GGAGGAGCGCTGTGTACTCCGTCAGGCCGAGGAGGAGCGCTGTGTACTCAGTCAGGCCGAGGAGGAGCGCTGTGTACTCAGTCAGGCCGAGGAGGAGCGCTGTGTACTCCATCAGGCTGAGGCGACCGCAGACGGTGTGTTCCCCGGTGGATGCCTCTGACCTTAAGCCACACACTCTCTCTGACCAGCTTTTTAAAGACGTACACAGAACTTCAGTGTGGGGCTGCATCCGCTGTCATCAGACTGATGCTTGTGTCACTAAAATGGAGTGTTAGATTACACGCCATGTTTTTTTTGCCAAGGTATTAGTCAAGAAGAAATCTCACGCCAAAGTGCTCAAAATCCCTCCCCTCAAAGCTTATTGGTCACTTGGATTCATTAATGGACGTAGGCTCTGGGGGGCCAGATTGAATCCTTGAAGAGGCCAATTAACATGTAGCATGTCACCTTGGGTGGCCTTTTTTGAACTGTCATCTGTGAATCAGTGACTGTTATTGAAAATGTGTCAAATATAGCTAAGAATATTCTACATGGTTTTGAATGTTCTGTGGAAATAGGTTAAGGGTGATTAAAAATGAAAAAATAAAACAAAAATTACCTAGATTAGCGCCTCCATAGTCGAGTTTGGCCCCCTTGAGCTGTTAGGTAGATGTAAGGGCATGAGGTAGACTAGCTGAGACAGACTGCGGATGACCAGCTTTCTCTAGATTCAGGGGAGCAGACCCTCTAAAAATGCCCATACCCCCACAAACCGTGATCCTTTAGCTCTTAGGATGCTGCTTTTAATGTAAATTAACTGATTTTTCTAACCTAATGTTTTAGCTATTGAATGACAGCTAAGCTGACTAGTAAATCTTCTCTGCTGCTTCAGGGCTTGGGAATCTTTGAAGCTCTGCTATTGACTAATCTAGCGCTTGGTTCTATATCAATCATGTATCCTCTGAAAAAAAAGACTGTTCCAGAACATAACCTGACAAAGTGTATTTAATTTTTTTTCTTCCTGTGTAAAATTCTGCTAAGCAGAAATGTATAGAATGAAATGACACACTTTTCTCGATTCTATTTTTGTTATGTTTTAGTATGTTTTTAAAGTTTTGTTTTTCACTTTTTTGTTTACGATTAATTTTGTTTTGCCTTGGTTCCTATCTGTTTGTCGGCCATTTTAATGTAATGGCAATCCATCTGTTTTTAATTGTAATTGATTGCTTAATGATAAAGCATCCGGTTCAGCGCACAGGAGAACGCCTGACCCTGACCAGACTTAGTGTAGAACCCACCTAGCTCAAGAGGTGGTTGGGGGGAACCTCAGTTTTTAAAAGTAGCAGTCCTCCCAGTGCAGCAGTGTGTATGCAGTTTTAAACTGCCGTGTATAAGGCTCATGCATTGGTTTACTCCAGGTACGGAAACGCTGACACGTGTGGCGTCCCTTCCCACTGTTAAGCTAATGAGGGGAGACACGTCCATGAAAAAGATCAAGGGTGCTTAAAGACTATTTTTAAATACTAATGTTGTTCTGCACTTTAATTCTTACACATCGCTACACGACCCACCGACTTGGGCCAGTTCCCTGTACTGTTTCTGGTGTCAAGCAAGCCATATTGATAAGGTTTTCATTTTTGTCTGGCACATACAATACGAGAGTCGCAGTTGGATGGGTGTTTGGAAGCGGACCGGAGATTCCGAAAGTGCCCAAAAGCCAAGCTACACTAAAGCTCTTCTGGTTCATGTGACTGATACTACAGAATGCATGCAGTGAGATCTGCTTGAACATGATTGCCAAGAAGTGTGTTGTGGCTGGGATGCAGCACAAGGTGGTGTCTATTTTGTGCAGAAATTCAGTACTTGGAGCTTCTTGTATACTTAAGGCTTTCCTTTGACACATGTGCTTCATCCCTCTTCACTAAGACAGCACATCCCACCCTTTGTGCTTAGTCTAGCTAAAGGACTGTTTTGCTTTCAGTCTGTGAATTACAAGAACATTTTTTCCCCTTCTCTTGGGGGAAAAAAAAACTGCTTCTTAGGCATGCAGTCCACAGGCCCTTGTACAAAAATAGAAATGCAATCAAATCACAAGAAACCCATTTAGAAGGCTGGAGGTTTTGAGGATAGCTTTGAATAAATGAACACATAAAGCGTCCCCCTTGTAATGCTTCAGAGAATGATAGGATAGATGCCATTACACTTGCGCCAAATGAGACCTTTTGTGTGTATTTAAAATGTGTGACAAGGAGAGTAAGCAAGTCACTGGGGTCTTTCTTGGCTCAGGGGTTGATGTTCTGTGATCAAGGTCAAGGGCTGTTTTTTTTTCTGGGAGGGGGGATGGGAAATGGAAGGTATGGAAACCCCTGACCTCTGAAGGGTTACGTCGTCGTTAATGTCCCAGGGTTCAGACTTCTCCTGTCCCTGCCATTTGTCCTTGTTGAATATGTGTAAGGAAACGTAAATATATAAAAATATAACAAAAAAAAGATCAAATGAATCATTGTTGTATCAATTTAAAATAGTTTTAAAAAGTTCTGTATCTCCTATTTCAGAATTTAGTGCCTTTTTTGGACAGTAGACTGTTCTGTAATTAAAATGTAGTATACGGTATATATGCTTTTGTTACTTTTGTTTTTGAAATTTAACTTGTGTTTATTTTAGTATTGTACCTATTATAGAATTAAAAAATACTATATCAATGATAAACTAAGCCACAATGACTGTCTTTTTTGAATGTTACCATTGCATTTCTGTTATACTTCACAATACTTAAGAGAATCTCACCTAGACCAAACTACATAATTTTACATTCATACTTTTTACATTATATTTGGCCTTTGTAGATATATATTTATATCCTTAAATGGGTTTCTGAATTTAAAAAGCAGAAAATGTATTAGGGCAGCACCAGTCACATTTTTTCCACTCAGAATTAAGATTGTGATTTTCTCTTAGTTCTTACAGGGTTAAGTTTAGCCAGTTATCGGTATTGGTGATATAAAACCAATATAATTTTTGGCTATGTATTTATTTAATTACATAATCACAACTTTCCAGAACATAAAGGGCACACTCCACTCATTTACAAATGCAAGACATACTAAAAAAACTGAAACCCCAGGCATATCTGAACGCTCAGTATGGATGAGGCACTAGGCAAATGGCACCCAGATGACATACTACTTTCTTCAAAATTCCCAAGTGTACAGCCGACGGATGCTACGGCACCTCACAAGGCAAGTGAAGCTACAACTTGATGGCACAGGAAGTCCCGTCCGTGTAAGTTTAAGTAGAAAACAATACCCAGTTTCATAAGTTGACTCATACGTACACCGATCAGCTATAGCATTATAACCAATGACATGTAATTAATTATCTTGTTACAACGGCACATGTGATGGGTGCCATTATATATTAGGCCAATGGAACAGTCAGTTCTTGAAGGTGATGTGTTGGAAACAGGAAAAGGCTCAGATGGTTGTTAATAGGCTAATAATGAAAGCAGCAGGTTGCAGACTGGGTTGGAATGAAAACATTTTGGGACAAGGTTTTGAAGGAACAAGACTGAGAACCACTGGGCTAGACGACTGGGTCAGAGCATCTCCTAAACTGCAGGTCTTATGTTTCTGGTATAAAGTGGTCAATACCTACCAAAAATGGCCCAAGGAAGGCGAACTGATGATCCAGTGATGGGTTCATGATTGCCCAAGGCTCATTGATGCATCTGGGGCATAATGGCTAAGCCCGTCTGGTCCGGTCCACGGGAGATGGGATGCTGCCCTGTCTACTGCCAAAAGTATCTACAATGGACACATGAACATCAGAACTGGACCAATGAGCAATGAAAGAAGGTGGCTTGGTCTAATAAGTTACATTTTCTCTTACATTATGTGGACAGTCGGATGCATTTGCTTAGTTTAGCTGGGAAAGAGATGGAACCAGGATGCACTATGAGAAGAAGGGAAGTTGGTGGAGACAGTGTGATGCTCTGGGAAGTGTTCTGCTGGAAAACCTTGGGTCCTGGCACTCATGTTATTTTGACCACTTACCTAAACATTGTTGCAGATCAAGTACACCCCTTCATGGCAGTGGTTTTCCCCGATGGCAGTGGCCTCCTTCAGCAGGATGGTGCACCTTATCACACTGCAAAAAATGTTCAAGAACAGTTTGAAGGACATGAGTGCTGGATTAACAAGTCCATCCCATGGAGGCCCCACCTTGCAACACAGGACTTAAAGGATCTGCTGCTAACGTCTTGCTGCCAGATAGAACTGGAGACCTTCGGAGGTCCTGTGGAGTCCATGCCTCAACAGATCAGAGGTGAGTTTCCCTAAGAGTTCTATCTTTTAACATGGAACTTACGAACAACGTAGTGTTAAGAAGGCTTCGGGAAACTCACCCCAGAGCTGTTTTGACGGCACAAGGGGGACCTACGCAATATTAGGCAGGTGGTTTTAATGTTATGGCTAATTGGTGCATCATTTCATTAATAGTTTTCAATGATTTTAAACTTCTATGGGGGGAAAGCTACGTCATTCGTAAACTACCGAATCAGGTAATTTGTGAGATGGCGACATCACTACATACAAGAATATGCATGCAGTACAGTACATGCTACATTAACAGTCAAGTAGACTGCCTCTAATGAGATTCAGCATGAGATGTCTAAGCATGTGATTTCAGACCCGTCTTTCTACCCCCTCTCCCTGCTGCATGGTGATGATGCTGCGGCAGAAAAAGGAAGTGCTTGGTTTGAAGTGACAGATCTCTCTGCTAATGCAAACCCAGCAAAATCGGTGTCATGTAAGAATGAGACCGGGGTATGCATTGATAATTAATTGCGCAGCCCTAGAATAAGATTGCATAGGGGAATGAATCAAGATTGTGATTTAAAAATGATTAATTGTAGAGCCCTAACCAGTATATTACTAATTATGCAACTTTTTTTCCCTAAACTATCAATTCATGTTGACAAAAGAAGAAAATTTCGTTTCACATGTTCACAGTTCTGTCACAAAAAAATGATTTAACAGCAGCAGCCCAAGACAGTCATAAATCAGGACAATCAATTCGAGAGATTCTGTAAAAACAAATTTTATTAACCTGTGACCAGAAGAACTGATTTCTTAAAAATGCACAGTATTACACGATTGTATTCTTTGGGTCTCAGCACAGAATAATCAGTTAACAGTTCAGTTAGCAGACTAGGGCCTTTCACTTGTGACTCTGTGCATATGTACATGCACTCCCATGTACATATACAGACAAAAAGCATCCGCAGTTTACAACAAATTGTGTTAAATGGGAACATCAGATTATTATACACTTAATATGAAGCATATGTATACAATAATATTAAACCTATGTTTTGTCTAATGGCTGATGTACAGTAGGTACAGCTATAGTACACATCACACAACTGGCTGCACAGCAACACGATTATGAAATGAGGCACAGATGGAAAGTAATTTCAGCAGGGACATCAGTGCAGTCAGGGAGGCAGCATGACATGGGGGCCGTGACAAGGATAGGGGTGGTTGCCGGAATTTGCATCAGGTCTTCAGAACAGACCATTCACTCAAGGATCAAGCAGGCAACAGCTTAAAAAGCACGACCTCTTCTGCGATCCGTTCAGAACCGTTTTACTCCCGCTGTCTGGGTCACATGGTAAACGTCTAAGGTAAGTATCACAGCACCTTCGGCATGAAAAAGCTCATTCTAGTCAGAGCAACTCAATTCAAGGCCACTTCCACTTCCTCTGTGACAATGTGACATTGTCCTTAACCTACTGCTTGGCATTCCAGGGCTGTTTACATATAATAGATGTTTACATACAGTACTTACACCAAATATTTACAACCTGAGTGTTAATAAGTATAAACAGGCAGTAGGAATCATATGTTTAGTGAACATGTTTTAGATAAGAATATTAATTTTAGGAGTTAAAAAGATTTATTTTTTTTTCGTTTCCCAAAAGTATTTTTTACAAAAAAGGACATTAACCTACACGTGAATCGGTTTAGTCATTACATGAACAGTCAGAGGTAGGGAGCCCTATATTGCACACATTTCATTGCAGATTGCAACTGGTAATTAAAAGGTCCCACAAGAATACATACGGAAACAGGGAATGACAACATGGATACAAACACTGTCCAGCTACGGGTAATCATCATATGGATGGTTTCAAAACAGAAAAGGTGCTTTGGCCCTTTGTGCATTCCGTAGAGCAGCATGCTGTGATCCCTCAGCAAAATGCACCTACATACCGTGCAGTACAGCAGCAGTGCAGGTTCTTTGATCTGGGTGTCTGACTGTACGTTTATAGTAAGAGCTGCTGTATCAAAATACTATGCAGCACAAGTTGGATTCAGTGTTAAACAAGCACGTTTGTCTGGAACCTATTTGTTGTCCTTAATGTCATTCCTATACATTACGATACTGGATGCATTAATAGAATTATAGTGCCATTAAATCAAAATAAAAATCCATGCCTTGAAAAAAAGTAGTATATACACAACACATATGATGATGGAACGATGAAACAGGATTTGAGTTTATAAAAGCAGGGTTAATAGGTAAAAATTTCTATCAGCAAAACTACCACCTCATATGTACAGTCTAAGTCTGTATGGTTTGTGTTTATTTTAGACTTCAGCACAGAAAAAAAAAAAAAAAGATTAAAATGATACATTTTGCTTGTGTTAACAGAATGCAATACTGAAGCTATGAAATTCTTATTTGGAAGCGAGGCATGATAGTATTTAAAATGCTCTGTAGACAGCTATTTGAAAGGGCAGTGGGGATGAACGCGGCCCCTCGCCACACTGTGAGAATGCTGCATATTTTTGAAATGCTGACTTTTTTTTTATTCCGCGCGGGCCGTTTTTCAAAAAAACAAAGGATTGCTGTCGATGCTCCGCAATCGCGACCTGTGCAAAAGTTAAGGCTAGAGAGAATCAAGGGCTAGAATCAAGGCTAGTATTTCAAATTCGCAGCACGCGTTAGTCGCAGAGACCCTCACACAAGAAGGAAGTAAATATATTAACCCTTTTAAAGGGCCACTTCTAATTTTGATTTCAAACAAACATTTTAATGATAATCTGCACTTTGTGTCTATTTCTGGGACAAGGTGACCTATAGTCTTCTGCATCTATACAGCTTCTACAGTCAGACTCAATATGAGATGACATAGATAATAATCACAGTTTAAGGGGAAATGGGGACTGTAAACGAATGCCCAAAGGTCCAGGACACACGCCGACTGTCTCTCTACCATAATGTATATATTAAAATCCATCCCAGTAGGATGGCATATGTGCTTAAAATCAGCGGTACAGGACTTTGATTTATCTTAATCCACGATTTCAGTAAAATCAAAAGCGCGGTTGTCTTTGCGCATCCTCAAAATAAAAGTATATCTATGTGTATGCATAAATATGCCTTCAGAAATGTCATAAAAACAGGAACAGCTTTTTTGCAGGAAGCTGATAGTGGAAGGGGAATTGTTGTTCTTCCAGTGTGCTTAGGCTGTCATGTAGGTCCGGAAAGGCACTGCAGAACCATCCCTGAGACCGACTCTGTCTTTAAAAAGGCATTCTGTGCAGATAGAAGACTTTTCCTTTCCCTCCTTGATTCTTAAAGGCACGAATCTGGATTTTCAGCTATATAAATAAAACCAACACTACTGCAACATTTTGTCAGTAACAAGATCTGTTTAGTTCTTATACCATTTAGGATAATTTCAGCCGAAAGGAGAGCAGCTGCACTCAGAGGCTTTTGGAAAATATTGCTGTAGAATACTGCATTCTGTTAAATAGTGTTAGGGGGTAGGAAAATCAATCAGACGCAAATCACTTTCTGATTCAGCAGCAAAAGCAGCGATTCTGCCACTTCTCTAAACACGCGAGCACGCTTCCCTGGGCAAAGCGATTTAATTGCGGATAAACCAGCTCTTGATGTCATGCCGCGCATCACGTGTCGCCCGTACATCCTCACAGGCAGATAGCGGGAGCCAACCCACCGGGCAGTGTCTGTCAGGAAAGGTGGAGCTGCTCTACACATATCAACACCACAGGAGATGTGTGAGCCAGTGTGGGGGGAGGGGGTGTCGACACAGCCTCCTTTAGCTGGTCCAAGACTTGCGGTTCTCCCCTCGAGACAAGCCACTGCGTCGCCGGTCCTGTGTAGGACACTTGGCACCTGCTCCAGGACCCACCCTCTCCGGCCGCACGAGGACCCCGTAACCAGGGTTACAGCAGAAATACTGACGACCGGCTACAGAGCCGTCATTTTTACCTGCAGAGGACAGATAGGACAGTGACGGTACATAACTGAGTGTCCTTCCTGCAAGAATGAACCAATATCAGGCATTTGCCAATCAGCTACTGATATGTTGAATTTCAGTTAAGCTGGTAATGATGTTTGATAAATTACGACTATTTTGAGGACTAATCTAATATCCTCATGAGATCCAGCTATTCATCATTGTCCTCTGTAGAGGACATTGTGCTTTTGCTCATATCTCTCGTACTGCACAAGCCAGTCTATTAAGTCCTTTTGTTCATTAAGGAGGACAATTAGGGGTTTAAGATGACATCACATGTATGGGGGTGTGCTCTTAACCATCCCAACACAATTTAAGTAAAAAAAATAGATCATAAAATTATAAACCCCCACAGACCTCAGGAGGATGCTAAGAAAAGATGAAAACTGTCAATTATAAATGAATAGTAGCTAGTAGCTAATAGTAGCTAGAGGAATGAAAACGTACCTGACGGACTGTCCAACTCAACCCCCACCCAGATGCCGTCTGCGAAATCCGTGGTCCCAACGTAGCGAACTGTCCCGCACTTGCCCCCGCCCACAGTCACCCGCGCTCCGCCCTTCAACCAGTTTGGCAACGTGGTGTCCAGCGCTTCATCCGAGTCCGAAGTGATCTCCAGCTTCTCCAGGCTCCCTGACTGGCCTGTTTCAGGCCAAGCTGTTTTCTCCACCTCGTCCATAAACTTCTTCAAGGGCTTAACATCAGGGGTCGCTGTCATCTTGGCTTTGTGGGAATCGCCGGCCCTCGTCGAGCCATCAGCAGATAGTAATGCTGGAAGGGGGCTTGCTGTAGGAAGGACAGGCTTTGTGTCTAGCTGAGACGACACAAGACCGTTCCTGTCAGCAGCTTTCAGCTCCACGGGGGTCACTGCTCTTAGATGGCCTTTTCCTTTCTCAGCAGTGCCTCGAAATCCATCTTTCCCCCCATCCACTACAGCGGTGGAGTTAAGCGATCTCACTGCGGTGTCCTCACTGTCAATGCTAGGCGTAGTAGCGATGCTAGCTGTACCCGGGCAGGCGCCAGGCTCTCCACCAGTGGAATACACCTCGGACAGGGTTGCCATGGAGACACTGGTAGAGAAATAACCGCTTGACACCTCACTGGTAGGGCTGAGCAGCGTGTCATCATGCGTTTCGTGCTTAGATAGAGGTGGAGAATCTGGCATGTCCGAGAATCTCTCCAATGAAGGACTGTGACCCGATGTGGCGACCTGCAGACATGCACATGGCAGGATCATTACTTTTCGCCATAGCAACCGCAGTGCATCACAAAAACCGGAAACACAGGCTTTTCTCATAAAAATACGCGAGACCCCATAAATGAACAGAATATTTAAACCAACAATTTTATTTTTATTTTTAATCAACATGATACTTCACTCAAAGATCAAAAAATTTCAGAATTATGGCTGCTCGATTATAGTAAAAATCATAACCACGATTATTTAAGACGACTACTCATTGACTTGAGAAGTACCGCACATTTATTGAAATTAAAAGAAAGAATAATTTACTTGAAAATAATTCAACTAATAATTCAACAATAAAAATAATTCAACAATAAAAAAATAGCTGGAAATGGATGTGCTAGACTTAACGGGATTTATAATGGAAGCATTTTTGCAAAACAAAATGCAGAACAATAATAGTTTTCTCTCAATTTTGATAATAGTTGGAAGCCAAAATCATAATTGCAATTAAAATTCGATTAATCGCCCTGCCTTAATAACAACAGAAAAGAGTTACAGTAAGTAAAACTCCATTTTACTACACCAAAGTCCATATGGATTAAATAATTAAAGATACATTACTAACCAGGCAGACAGGTTAAAACAAAACATTATGTTACAATCAGGCACGCAGGGATTTTTTTTAGACCGTCAGGCTCTTGGGAGCCAAACAGAAGCCCCAGCCGTAGCTCTGCAAGCAGTGACAATGGAATATTCATGGCTGTTCTCAGATTTCTGCCTTGTTTAATGTAGAAGACTTACCAGTTCTGGCTTAATGGGGCCTTCATGAATGGACTGTACCATGATGCGAGGAACAGGCTAAAGAGAATGAACAGAAGCTTTCATCGTACAAGGCAAGAGTTTACAGAACGAATCTACGCAAAACGCACCAGCTCGATGACAAACACAGAATTAGCTTTGCGAACACTTGTACGTGAGTTTATATTTTAAGGTTCTCTTCACAATTATGAATACCAAATCCTGATATAAATGAATATTATATATGGATAGCTCGCTCGAGAAGGATTACGGCTGCTTGAAGGGCAATCACTGGCAACACAAAAGCTCCAACCATGACCTAGAATTTGAGTTTTCTCTTCCTACCAAAACTTCTGCAGCCATAGCTACAGAATCCCAAGGCTGATGCCGATTGCATTTTCTTTCTGCCTTTTTAAAAGTGTGATAAGCTAATTTATCCCTTTCAGAAGATCTCCCACTGCTCGGGGCATGGCAGGCTATTACAGCCTACACTTGCAGGCTTTCACTCCTGTGCATGCAAACTGCCTCAGACGACTCCATCTCAGTCGTTTCTCATTCCAATTCTTTCAGAAACATCCTCACGGAAGTGATGCACAAAAAGTATGTTTGAAAAAGCAGGGGTGTTACTATAAAGAGGGGCCCGCAGGGTCTTGTGGAGAGTCGGGGGGGGGGGCACTCCCACCTGCTGGGCTTGAGGTGATGGGCGAAGGTCTTTTTTTTCATCCCGGGCAGGGAAGAGGGACTTCAGCAGTTTAGGCATCTGAGGAGCCAGAGCCTTCACTGGGGAAAGACAAGAGGCAGCCAGTCTTGAGATACCTAAGAGGGGGGGGTAGAGGAAGAAAAGGAGGAAGAAGAAGAGAAGGAAGGTGGAAGAAGCAGAGGGGAAGAGAAAGAAGACAGGAGAGGAGAGGACATGAGAGAAAATACAGAAAGACGTTGCTAGATGAAGGAGGCACTATCAAAAGCCTTTCAAAGTAAAATTCAGAGGATTCCCTCGCACACCCCTATAAAGGCTGCAATCCTAAAACTAACAGGGTAAGAAAATAAACTGTGTAGAAAAACCACAGCTTAAATAAGCAGCAATGGGTTAGGATTTACTCAATCAAGCTCTTATCTCCGGATGTTGACAAGGGGGCAGGGACAACTCTCCCCTCAGCTCACCAACTCACCAACTCTCCCCTCAGCTCACAAACTCTCCCCTCAGCTCACCAACTCACCAACTCTCCCCTCAGCTCACCAACAACTCTCCCCTCAGCTCACCAACTCACCAACTCTCCCCTCAGCTCACCAACAACTCTCCCCTCAGCTCACCAACAACTCTCCCCTCAGCTCACCAACTCTCCCCTCAGCTCACCAACTCTCCCCTCAGCTCACCAACTCTCCCCTCAGCTCACCAACTCTCCCCTCAGCTCACCAACCCTGGGCATGTTTTAAGAAAATTGGATCAGCCCTTTTTACGGACTCGGCCCACTTTTCAGCGAGACCGAGTAATAAAGCATAGCGAGCAGGTGTTAGAAACAGCTGAAACAATATATATCACAGCTTTCCATTGCAGTGTCCTTCTGGAGTGGAATAGTAGGATGCGCTTTTCCTGCAGTGTATATAAGCTGAACAATACAGATGCCTAGCTAAACCCATTTGTCTATTACCAGCCAAAGCTCACATGGACTTTACTTGCCGTTTGTTCTTATTGAGTTGCATTTGTTCTTTGTTAAAGAACATGATCATTAATAGCAAACAACATTTCAGTAGCTTTTGGGTGTTCTGACTTGAGCAAAATGCTGGATGAAGGACAATAAGATAAAGAGCAGGACCTGATATTACATAAATATTTAAACGGTGTCTGGGCGTGTATTATATTCTATATCCTGACGTCTCATCTGCTGCTCAACAGTGCAAGACCATAAAATCCTCTGAATTTTAAAGCTGAATAATTCCGAGTCTTGCATTTATGGAACATTACTGGCAAGGAATGAAGAGCAGAATTTGACAGCATTGGTAAATAAGAACAAATTACAATACTGGGACAGTCGTAAGACTGAATAGAAAAAGACCACACAAGTGCATATAATTCACAGATGCAACAAAACTATTAGCACTTGAATAAGGAGCTATGCATGTATAAATCCAAATAAAGAGATGGCAGCAATCATTTACAGTTAAGAAAAAAAATATGTGGTTGAGACATAATCGTGGCATGAGATATTTGCAAATGACGCCGAGGAAAGTAAAAGGAGGACAAACGATGGTGAGGCTTCGGTAGGAGTTTGGCTGAATAGGTCACCATGGGGATACACAGGTGGTTTAGATAAGATGCGAACCTGATTCTGGCTCCTGGCTTTCTGCAGGGGAGGGCTGCGGAGGGGGGCGGCTTAGCTGAGGGGAAGCCCTGAAAATGTCCTGCTGACTCTCCCAGCGGCCCTGAATGGATGGTTTGAAGGAAAGACCAGCGATACAGATGACTTGTTAAAAACTACTGGATCACTGGTACTGAAACCTGACTGTGGGGAGGCTTAAAAAAAAAGGTAGCGGTCTTACCTTGTCATCCAGCAAGCAACTTGTGGAAAGATCTTGTCTGCTCCCAGTCAACTATAAGATGGAAAGATGAGGTGGGAAGGGGACCATTATATTCTAGTGTGTTCTCTTAACTTAGACACCAATTCATACGGCTGAGAACTTTTCGACCAATAAACATCAAGAACAAGTGCATATCCCTTTTTTAAAGCAAGTCTCCTTGGCAGTCCTTGTTAAGAAAAAAAAGCACTCTGCATAATTACAGCATCTCCAGCTTCACACACTCAAGATCAATGCTTTTAACTAGATGACTTTCAGCTGACAAGCTAAGAACATCATGTTCTATTCAGGAATACATGCCACTAAAGGTTTGCCACACACAATATATCATCAGGATTAGGGCTGTAATGGTACACGTATTTGTCGTGTACTGTTCGATACATTATTTTCGGTTCGGTACGCACAATGAAACAAATGAATACATTTATTGACACGGGCGGAACCTAAATTCACAAGTAGATATTCAAGATGGAAAACATTATGCTAATTGTGGCTGTGAGCTGCTTACTGCCAGTCATAATTGCCCATTTTGGAACATTTTTGTTTCCCAATAAATTATACCGCATTGGAGAGAGAGAAGCTGGTGAGACCAAGACACTCTGTCGGCTGTGTGATACCGAACTCCGATATGCTGCTAGAAACACATTGAACGTGCTAACTCATTTGAAACGACATCATCCAAGTGTGTGTGCAACCAAAGCTGTTCCTAAATAGAGCATAGAACATATGTAGAACACAGAACATGTAGCTAACATGTAGCACACTACGAAGCCAAGATACTGCTGTTTTGCTTCAACTGGTATAATTGTTGAGCGTTGACATTTGACCGTGTTTATATTACGGATGATCCTGTGCATAAGGGGGTGTTCATTATAATGCATTCATAAAGCATTATAACCGCGCATTCATGTGCATTTACCCTGTTTACGTTGGGGGAGCTCAGGCTGCGTCTGTTCCCCTTCCCTTTCACTGCAAACTGCTCCCGCACAGCTACTTCCTGTACACATACACGCACAGAAGCAGAGACACAGGGACATGAACATCAATATGCAGAGTGACGAACAGCAGGGAAGGGGAGCAGGCCGATGGGGGATGCTAATGAACGCATCGGGACGCCCGACAGGGCCCACCTGCCGCATGCGGTCCAGCGTGAGGATGTTCTCCACGGCCAACACGCTGCGCAGGTACTTCTCAATGGCTGCCTCGCTGTCAGCAGATTTGGGGTTCTCCGTGTTGGCGGCGAGCCGGGCCAGCATCTCCCGGTCTTCGGAGCTCTGGGCATCCTGACATGTATATGCATCGTTAAGCGGTAAACCTATAAATACCCCCTCAATGGCCCTGGTCACTTTACCGTTGATTTACTGCCAGTCTGCTGGCACTATCTCAAGCCGCTGTATAGCTGTATATGGATGTTATGACAATAAAGTCCATTTGATAAGAAGTGGGGATTGTAAAGGATGAGGCGGGGAAATTAATGTGACATCACCATATCAAGCTGCCAAAGGCCAAAATAAGGCTATGAATAGCTAACCATCCCCTGTACATCTGCAGCGGCATCCCAACGGTAAGCTGACGGTCTTGCGGCTGTCGTGTGCTGCGCCCCCCCCCCCCCCTCACCCTGGGGATGTTCGAGACGATCTCGAAGGTGACCCCGCAGCCAGGGATGGTGCTCCGCTGGGACTTCCGCCGCAGAAAGTTCTGGGCAAAACCCTGCAATCACAGAACCGTGTCCGCAGCCATAAAAGTGAAAAAGTGAACCGCTTTTCATGGACCAAACCCCCCCGCCCCAGGGTCTCACAGCTACTCTCCAGCTTTTGAGGCAACTCTCAACAGGTCGCTAGGCTGCTAATTAAGGCCCAAAGACCCTTTATGGACACACACACCACACTGGGAATAAGATTCATTTACAAGATCCACTAATTGGTGAAGGTTTTGCTTCTCTATACAAAACGACAAAGAGCCCTGGGATGTAACTAGGTCTTAAATCTGGCTTGTATAACAAATGCAAATGGCCAGCAATTTTGTGGGGGGGGAAGGGGGGGTTAAAAAAAATCCATTAGAACATTTTAGTGGGATAGAATAAGCAGTGAAGCGAATGAACCAGGGAGGATGTGTAACCCCTGATATTTAATTTGGCTAAATATAATATAAATATATTATAATTATATAATAAATATAAAATATTCCTCTATATTACATTTATCTTATTAATTTGCAACCCCCCCCCCCCTCGATATCAAACTCTCTCCCATGCTGTTAGACTAAATAATCTTAAAAATGTCTATGAAGAGATGCAAACATAGAATCAGTGATTCGCAGCACGGTTAGGGGCGGACGGACCTGGCGGCCGACGACGCTGACGCAGATGCGCTTGCGCAAGACCAGCTGCATCTCCTCCGGGTGGCTGAGCTGCACCACTGCGCGCACGATCAGGTAGACGCGCTGCTCCTGTGCCGCGCCCCCCCGGCTCAGCTGGGGACACTCGTGCACGGCCGAGTCCCAGGAAGCCTCGGCCTTCACCTGGAGGGGGCAGTATACAGTGGAATGGGTCGGCAGAGCCGAGAAAAGTCGGGCTGCCCCTCGCTCACCAGAACTGCCCCCCTCACCTCGTTGTCATCGTGCTTCACAATCTGTAGGTCGAAGAAATAATCCTCGTCCTCTCCGCTGAGCGTGGCGTCCCAGCCTCCCGCTTCCGCCATGTCCAGATTGTCCTGGGAACTGAAGTCTTCCGCTGGACACAGGGAGAGAAGGAGGTGGGGGTTTGCATCACTCCAAAGTCACGCTGACAGAATCACCACACACAGTCTCCTTTGCAAGGACATAAGCCATCTGTTTCCGGTAATGTACATACGGCGCACGCTGGATAAACAGAGGAGGAAACGAACCATTGAGATCTAAGAAGAGGACCGGGCTGTGTTTCTCCATCCCAGCCACAGGAACCCTGTGGGAACAGGAGCCGGCTTGTCAGCACCTTGGGGACCCAAGATCCACAGAGCGATTCCACCTCAAAACTCATGAACCAATAACACACACAGACACAGAGACACACACACACACACACACACACACACACACACAGACAGACAGACAGACAGACACACACACACACATACAGACACACACACACACCATAGCTCTAAAAGGTGGCCCGCATATGTAAGGGTGCTCTCCACTCAAAGTGTCCTGGCAAGGAAAGTTGGGACGACCGTAATCCCAGGGCAAACTCACCACTCTGCAGGGGCGCCAGGGATGCCACTACCAGCGGAGGGCACCAGGACGGCGTTTCGCTCCTCTGTCAGGGTGAGACGGCACTCCAGCAGCTGGGCCTCTTGGTCGACGTCATCCTCGGTCTTGTCTGTGTACATGGAGATTCACCCAATTTAGACAGCTGAACTCTATGAGCTCATCTCATTCCTGCATAGCAAACTTACCCCATGAAGGCCTAAAAGGAACAAATAAGATAAATATGACACTATTTATAGCATCCCATTACACTATTAAAATGCAAAAAATCATGCCGATTCTTTTATTCCATTTATACATCAACTAAAAGGAAAAACTAATTCTACCTACAAATATTCAAAATGTGACAATCGTCATATGTGAAAGAGTGAGATCATGAATCAAAGGCAGCTATTCCACTGGCCAGTCCTCACAAGACATGCCAAAAATGTAAGCCATTAAAATTCAATGGATTAAAGAGAATATTAATAGAAAAATGCAATGATTCAAGTACAAACCTGGAACTTCTGCATAACCTCAAATCACTGCACATTTCATGGCAATTTCCATCATGACTCATACGCACTGAAATGCTGAACGCTACCAGAACCATCAGCTGAAGCAGTCAGTGGTTCCTCACATATCAGTAACAATCCATCTTTCCCACTACAGCAACCTATGGCATTCATTTTCCTCAAGAGACAGGAAAAATGCACTAGTACCCCACAGACATAGAAAGCTAATATATCTAACCCGAAGTGAAGCTGCAGCTGTGATAGTGCTCGACAGCTGGACAAGCACAAGAGAAAACTTTGTGACACATCCCTCTAGACCTTAATGTAATCTAAAACCTGGATAACTTCACCAAAAATATTCGGCAACACTGCTTGAAGCTGTCATCTATAATGCATTATAGCTTATGCCTTCATAATGCATTATAAGTCAGTATAAGACCTAATAAAGCATTAGAGCATCCTCTATTGACAATCATATATATTATATGCATTATGAAGGAATCTCTAGTGCATTACAGATGAGAGCTTCATATAAAGCATTCATATTGCATAATAAACATGGGTATAATGTGCGCCACATTTTATAAATATTTATAGCCATGTTCATAATGCTTTATGAATGCATTATAATGTGTTAGGAATGTGTTCATAGATACTTCATAGATATTCTGCTTACGATAAAACAGGAGTAAGACAACTCACAATTAAAAGCTTTATAGATATTTGCCAGGACTGTAAGAAGAAAAGCACTCAACCAGATTGGACGATGTACTTCTACTTCTGAATGTGTTCAATTGAAAAAGGTTCTGATCAAACTCTACCTGGTTTGCTGACTAGTTTCTGGAGGTGCTGGTCCAGGTACTCCTGTCGCTTGGTTAGGGCCGCTAACCACTGCTGTCGAAGTCGCTCCAAGTCCCGTTCCTGCAGAAGGCAAAGGTCATTAACCGCGCTCCTTACAGGAACCACAGAAACAAACACACCAGCCTTTAAGCACTGATAAATCCATCATGAGAACAATTCATTTCACAAAAATTAAAAACAAAAAGACAAAAGCTAAAATTTATAAAGAAGACTGCTATTCAGCGGTCATGACAATAATTCATCATATAAACTTCCTATACCTGATAGCTGTCCATGTCATCACCGTCACCCTTCAATGGAAAGAAAATCTCATGTCAGGTTTAAAGAAAAGCACAATCCTTTTGTACTGGCAAAAGCAAATGAAAAATTGTGTCCAGGTTTTCATACTGAATATATTATAGCAGAGAAATATCTGACAGGGTAAATAACTCCCCAAAGACATGCCCCCCCACACCTTGGAGGTGTGAGCCTGGCGAATCTCCACACAGCCCACGGACACGGCCTGGATCGTCTCCACCACCAGGGGCATGGTGCCCGAATCCTGCACAGAGACGATCTCCACCTGGATGCGCCGGGACTGGCCCTGTGGGGGAGGAGAGGGGGGGTGTCATGCTGCGAGCTTCCCAGAGAGAGCCCTCGGGGGGCGGGCAAGCGTGTCGACCCGCGCGCCGACCTGTTTGAGCTGGAAGATGCCGCCGGTGCACACATCCGGGGCGGCCACCACCTCTACCGGGATGTACTCGCCGTTTTCATTCAGCTCCAGCAGCTGCACCCACATCTCCAGCCTCCGGGTCACTTCGCTCCACCTGCAAACACAATCTGACTCGTAATGGTCCAGAATCACTTATACGGGGCAACAGGGTGAACTGCAGTTGGAGTTTCACAAAACAACTAGCTGCTGCTGTATAAGATCACTTTACACTGATTACCTTGGCAGAATACTGAAAATAAATAAAACTAAAAAAGTACCATTAACTTTCACATGGCACAATATCCTCCATGCATTTGTAGATAGAGTGCGTCCAGCGCTTCCTGTGAGGGCATACCTGTCCCTCAGCGTGCGGGTCTTGGCCTGGATGACGCCAAGGTCCCAAAGAGCCGCGTTCCTGCACGGGTCATTCTTCTTGTGTCCATAGACCTCAATAGCCACCGCGCCTTCTGTCAGGTACTCAATGAAGTCCTCAGTTACCGACACAGACAGTTCCTGCAGGAAGCCAGCCGCCGCAGGCAGAGGAACACAGGACTGAGAACTGACAAATGAATCAGGTATTGATGCACACAGACAAATACGCAAGGGTGTTTATCAATACCAAGAACGCAAAGAATGTACTTGCGCTGTTGGCAAGAGAGGTCTTGCTAACTTGCCTCCCAAGATCGAACTCGGGACGCAATGAATAATGAGATAGTTCTTGTGGGCGAGGATGTAACCGATGCATACTTGGTATTTGGGGCAGGGCAAGGACACCATCTGGGGATTATCACTGTCCTTCAGTATTGGAACTGTACTTCGGCAATGGAAGATGACGTCATACAAGTACGCGAGAGCACAACAAAGGTCAAGTTTGCGTACAGATAAACACACCATATCAGTCTTTCTTTCTGGACTCCACACGGCTTGAAGAGAAAGCATTACAGATCGCACATCTGGCACAAATTAGCGCCGCTTAAGCCTGTCAGCTGACTTCCTGCCAGTCCGTCTGACTACACACCTTGCAGCTGTCAAACACCACCATGAAGTGGGGGTCCTTGATGCTGGGGGACGAGCAGGGGTCCATCTCTGGCCCCACAACAATAGGCTCGGAGTGGTCCCAGAAGGAGTACTGGCAGAAGACAAAGTTGGAGAGGTGCCAGGGCAGCCCCGTAGCCTGCAAGATCTTTATCTGTCATAGGGGCAAACAGACAGGGCGATCAGACCACTGCAGCACACAAACTCAGGCATGGCTTAACAGTCCAGTCAGCCAGTCTCTTCAATTAATCTGCCAATGTTCCTAACCCAGATTACCTTGGTTTTCACAATTCCATAAACGGGAATAAGCCTGGACAACAGATTTCATCTATGTAAACCTACACCAAAACACATGAACTTTTGCTGCAAAGGAATGCCCCCCCCCCCCCAATAGCACTCACCATGCAGACTAGCTTGCGCTCCAGCATCTCCCCCTCAGGGTTCTCCACATAGTCCTCGCCATCATCCTGGAAGCTGCCGCTGACGCGCAAAACTTCCACATGGAGGCGCCCTGCCACCTGACAAGGCAAGTGATCAGCTTGTCACTCCAATGCCACAACACACACAGAGCAAAAAATCACTGTAAAGTATGCAAGAAACAAGCCGCTACTAGTCAAGATATTACCTAGCTAATCGAAATCAGTCCTCCACTACCAAACCTGTACACACAGTGGTACTAGACAGCTAAAGAGAATAAGACTATTACACAAAGGAAACTCATTTACATTGTGCAAAGTCATATCTCTGCAAAAGCATTTGCACTCTGCAAAATCATATCTTCTCAATTCACAGCTTCATTTAATCAACTGCAATCGTTGCTCAATTTGAACATCCACAGGAATTATTCTCTCCTAACAGCTGTGACTTTATAAACAAGTATAAATTAAGCGTACAACTATATATTATATATAACCTAGATGAGTTCCAGGTTCACTGTAATTCTGTACTGGCAAAGCAATCATGGAAGAGTGATAGATGGATAAATTAAGATGATAAATTATGAAAGTTAAGTGTTTTTCTAGCAAAATAAATAGCTTGAATGCCAAACATTTTACTCAGTCTAACTTCAAACTCATTTTACAGTCTAGAGTCCGTAAATAACTAACTCTTCTATATAACTGTAACTTTATAGAGCTTCAACTGGTTACATTTTATGCTTCTGAGAAGTGGATCTACTTAAGTGTTACTTGTGAAAGAACCTTTTAGGACTCAATTTCTCTCACATAATGAACATGTATATTCTAAAACTGAACTGGAAATTATAGAAACGCAATTCCTTAATAGCATGCCAGTGAAATGAGATTCAGCCACACTCAACCCACGTTACGAATATTGTGAACACTATCAGCTAGGGGCGTCTAGACTGAAGGTTGTACTGAAGCACACGCAGAATTAAAGGGGCAGATCCTAAGCACTCGCCAGTCATAAGGACCATATTATGCACATGGTAAACAACCTGCACAAAATTAATTCATTTATTTTTAACAGGCACTCTTTACAAAAGCAGCAGAGCTCCATGACCCTCTTTAAAGTTACTCTTCTATGGGCTGACACGGAACAAAGAAAACTTCTATGAATACATAAAAACTGAAATATCCTCCACATATTCCCTCACTTTTTGCACCATCATTGCCCAAAACTGTATCCAAAATGTCAGTCACCATGGTCTTCGCTTAAAGGTGCCACTCCCCTTTTACAATACAGCCTACCAGAAGCCAGAAGTCATACATGCCACATTCATACCAATGCAAATACAGATTTTTTTCCACAGATAAAAAGGGGTTGTGCCAATAAGTTGGCATTTTTGTGACACGTGAATAACAAACTTGCAAAATTAGCAGTTATTATTTGTATGATGTCATTTTATTTAAAAATTAAGTCCGATATTCTTGCTGAACACATGCCTTTGACTTAATGGGCTAATTTCTGCTTTTGCTGGCGAGCCCATGGAAGGTGACAAACAAGGCTACCTAACCAGCCTTAGCATTTTCATTAGCATCACCCAGTCTGCTGTGTGGTTTACTGCCTGTTAAATTTGGCCAGGGGTTCCTCTCCTATTAGCTACACTGTATAAAATTAATCGCACTGAATTTATACTTCCAAAATTACGTTCTATTAACGCGGATGTGAGATTACCTCAGGGAACAGAGGATACATGTGTAATTCTACAATATGGTCACATTTCACAGACTACGAAGAACACCATCTTAACTGACATAAATATATATATTGTGAGCCCAGCAACAAGAACAAAATGGGCAGCTTTTAGGGAAAAGACCCAGGAACCAAAGATCAATTTGTAAAAATAGGTAAAATACTAATTTTTAAACCTGAATAAAAAAAAATGTATTATCGAGCCCAAAGGATTTTATCCAACAGTTCTAACACATTTCACACACAAGTCCAACATTCTGTCTGTCCCTACCTCCCCTTTCTGGTTGATAATGGGCACAGCGTATTGCAGTTTGACATCATAGAAGAGGCAGGAGAGGAAGACATTGGCTACACCAATCAAGCTGTGATTCTCCTGTTCATCGAAGAAAGGGTCCGCTCGTTTGAAGTAAGAACGCATCACCTGTAGGCAGAACGGGAAAGAAGAGAGCAAGAGATCAAGTAATAGCACAGATCATCTCAGCCATAATGGGGGGATTAAATTAAAGTAGATGACAGCTTATTACAAGTTGATAATCTTATTTCAAAATGTTATTAATTTGAAAGCCTATACAAGCCTATGACAAAAATTAAATAAAATCACCAGATAGCTTCTGAATTCTCATCCCAAGAATGCCAACTTCACTGTAGTTAGGAGAGTTTTCGTTCTCTTTAAGGGTCATAAACAGACCAGAAATCAATTTAATATACTCAAAAAAACAGAACTGACAGGATTGTCCTCATCCAAGTCCTTCCATTCCTGGTACAGCTCCCGCATGTCCACCAGACGGTTCTCCACCTTCTCCAGGGTCCAGATCTGCTTTCCCTTGCCCTTCCGTCGCACCTGGACCGCTGGCTCGCTCAAGACCGCGTCACGCTGCCAGAGGAAAAGGGGGCGGGGAAATTGGATGGACTGTGGTAAGTAAAGCTGGAAATATATGTAAATAAAGGATACAAATGTGTGCCAAAGGCAGGGGTGCCACACACACCTGCCACACACACACA